CTTCAATGAAGTTTATAACTTTGGAGAGAAACGATCTGGATCAACTATCATCTTTGACTGAGAACTCCGTTTGTTTGATGGATATAGTTTATGACGCGATAACATTAGATTAATAACTATCAGAAAACCTAATGAGGATAATTATCCTACCATTTACTTTATGGTGACTAATGATCATGACAAGTTGTTGACCACCTTAACAGATTAATACCAGAAGAAGGAATGCTGAGAATTTCGTTCGACCAATTTATGATATATCCTTTTTGCAAGAAAATCTTCCAATCATCAGAAATATTAAACATCCATGTTCAACAAGTGTGAACCTTAACATTCTAAGGGGCCGTTCACAATAGTACATATATTCAAATAACATTTATTATCAAATTAGTTATATTGGTTTAATATATATAGTCCCCTTAATTCCTTTATTGTTCTCACAAAAAAATAAAAGTCTAAACTCTCATTTATCGTCCAAGCATTAATTAATCAGTTTTTAATGTATTTAGAAACCATAATATAGCTGAAGAGGTATTTGATCATTCTTTGATTTTCTATTTTGAAAGTTGTACATTAACTAGAAATAGCATGAATTAAAACAACTGGTAGAAGTTAATATAAAAACAATTCAATATCCTTCAAGTTAGTTTTGCTGATAAAGTATTTGTTTCTCTAGGTAAGTTATCATAATCATATTTTCAAACTGAATATCTTAAAAGTGAAATTTCAACTAATAGCAAAAAGTGCTTTAACAATATTATATTTCAAAACACAAGATGGCTGAATTGAAACTTGAGGTTTATATCATATATAATTGATTTGATAACAGTCATACGAAATTTATCATTAATAATTATAATATAATAATATTATTTTTCATAATAGGAAACAGAAAGCTAAAAATACAGAAGGATAAAGTTATGGGTTTATTCACAATATAGCAATCCTTAAACTAAATTTTTTTTAATGCGCAGGGTTTTCAATTAAATTAAATATTTAAACTTAGTCTACTCAATAGGATTTATAATATAAAATAATTAAAAAGCAGTTTAAAATATCCTGCTCATACTTAAGACTTTACTAAGGCTATATAAATAAGATGATATAATCTTTCCAAGATGAACTAATCTTTCTAAAATAAATGTGATATCAAAATTTGTAGGACATTGGTTTCATTGTAAAGAAAAGTAGAAAAATGTTGAATGATCTAATATAGTTAAATAGATAAAGAATTCTAAAGAATAATATTTTTGGGTTTACAATTTACTAGAAATCGACTTTTTGTAGTGGATAAGTAAAAAATCCAAAAAAAAGAAAGTCTTTTGTGTGATTCAAACTTCTTAGCTTTAGACAACATAAATACAGATATTTTTTATAAGGTACTTTTTTAATTTTGATATTCTCCAACTATTTATAAATAGATGCCTGTTAATGAGAGAAAACATTTATGGGAAATAATAAAATTAAACACAAAAAATATTATTCTTTGAAACTAAAACCTAAAAAGGAATAATAGTTCCGAAAATCAAAATGAGAAACTTTAAGTGTCTAATTAAACATAAGGAAGAAACTTTAAGAATACTTTATAAGAGCAAATATAGATAATTAAATTATATCATCACACAATAAATTCTTCTTAATTCAGAAAGGAATAAAAAAATAAATTATATAAATATTGTTATTAAATGAAATTGATGTTATTGATAGTTATCTTAAGGTGTTCAAACTTCTTTGAGACTGAAACAAAACTCTGTAACAAAGTAATTTTGTTAAATTAATTGTTAATTGTATGAAAACACTTATTAGATGCCTATTGGACCAATACATGGGTCACTTATATCAACCTAAAGTATCAATGTATTTTGGAGAAAGCAAATTTACAATAACCCTTTAAGATTTTCATGATATTATTGCTATCCAACAATTATAGTTGTAGGAAATATTTTTATTCCTTTGGATATTTCAGCAATTATTGAATTCTTATAGCGTTAAGATTTTGGATGTTGGAAGAAAATAAAGAATAACCAAAATTGTAATTCTTTGAAATTGGGAATGATTGAATAAGAGAAACAGAAATTTTCCAATTTTAGCTTTCTCTGTTTTATCAAGGCATTTTTTTAGACTAAAAATAAAATTTTTCAAACTTAAAATAGTTTCAGCAAAGTTTTTAAATTAACGAATTTTCAAAATGATATTTTAGAATTGTTTCTTTAATCTGTTTTTTACCTTTCTTCTAATTGCAGCTATTGTCTTTAAGAAATCCTATTTCACTATCATTTTTTTTCAATGAAAACTCTTAAAATTATAATTAATTAAAATGATCTTTCACATGAACCCAGCAAATCACTTTCTAATTGAATTTAATCTATTGGCAATTGGGTATTTTATCTTTCTAAGTTTTTCATTATAAACTTATTGGAATCTTCAACATTTAATTATAATTTGTTATTTTTACAAATAGCTTCTGTAAAGGCTTGCAAATATGATTTTATGATTCTATTAAATTTTACAAATAGTTAATTTATATTTAGTATGATCCAAAAACAAAAAAATGAAATAGCATATCAATGTTCATCAAGGAGAATCTATAAATAAGTCTCTAAAAGAACTTTTTATATAAAATTTCATTTTAACTTTTTTTCTATTAAAACTAATAAATTAGTAATAACACTATTATACATTAAGACGATTTTACATCATACATTGTTTTATATTGTCTTTTTATTCAACCTAACATTTAAGTCATTGAAATGTTAAATGACAAACTATGTTTGAATTAATGAACTAAATAATTGGATTTTAATTTAGCAAATTCTATTAATGATTATGACATATTATTAAACAATATAAATAGGTAATTATCTTTTATTTCTATTATACGAATAAATTATAAATCGTGCAATCCATTCAAAAGGAAATTAATGAGATTATTGATAACGATTTTAAGAAGGAAGAAGAAATTGAAAATAATATAAAAAAATTACTAGAATACTCAGATGATGAAATTATAACTGAAATAATCTAAGGCTTACATAAACGGTACCCTTAAGAGACATTTCTAAACTTACCTTATTTTGCATAAAAACAGGAAAATCTGAGGTAAAAGTACTCAGACAATTTATAGGAAAAAAAGTTTGATTAAATACTCTTAGAATTAAAAAATGAGAATTATTGTAAACAGAATTTGATACCTATTTCAATTAAGGATTATCTTATTCCTCTTTAATAATTAAGAAATGATTTGCATTTAATTTTTGATTTTATAGAATTAGTTAAATAAGAGGGATATCCTGATTTTATATCTTTTTTAAAATTGCTTATTAACTTATTCTTTCTCGACTGTGATAATTAAATAAAAGGATAAATTCATTAATTTTTTGGATCTCTTTTAGAAAATTAAATATATAAATTTGAATATTATGTTGAATAAAGTGATTTAAAAAAAAGATATACAAAACTGTTTTTCGGATAATATTTATATAGTTTAAATTTAAGAAATTTAGGTTCAATAAGGCAAAGATAGTTTATTTTAAAGTGTTAAAGATAAATAAATCCTTTTTTTATTTGAATTATTTACTCTTAAACTTGGATCTTATTATGATAATTTACTAGGGTTTATTAAAATCTAATTTGTGTGAAGAATAAAGAAAAATATAGAGAGGAGTTGATTTAATATGTTTCTTTGACAGAAAATTTTAATGAAAATTTAGACTGTTTGTACTTTAAGTTAGTGTTCTATTTTTGGATTTAATTTATTGAAATCTTTAAAATCAAAGAACAATTCAGACTTTTGAAAATAAAGTAAGCAAATCTTAATAGAAGAAAAAGTATTTGAAAATGCTATTATAAATTTGAATTCTAATGAGAAAAACATCATCTACAGATATCTTAGACAAAAAATACTTTAATATAGCAAACTTGAGGATGAGGATTTATAGATGGCTACCAAAAATATGAAGCCTAAGAGAAAGAGTTTATCTAATAGGTAGGCTAATTTAAATTCTCAAATACTAAAAATCTAAAACAATATGCAGAAATTTCAAAAAACTAATGTTATACCAACTTAAATCTTTATAAAGTCAATAATAAGATTTGACAAAAGAAATATATATTTTTTTTATCATTTTTATCTACAAATGAATTAAATAGTAATTTAGAAAAAATTTTAATAAACAATATTAATCTAACTTTAAGGATAATGATAATGGGAAATTGGATAATTTTCCTAAATTCTAAAAGATTAATCTTCTTCATTCGGAGTAATCGATCAAAAGTAATCGTTAAATAAAAATGTCTAGATTTGTTAGTTAAAACGAAGCTTTTATTCAATACCCTAAATAATTGATGATTAAATTGGAAGAATTTAATATTTCTTTAACATCCAATGAAAATTTTTAAAACATTGTTGATGAATGGTTAAGAGTAAAACTAATAAAGAAATCTTTAGGAAATTGCTTCCTTTCTATTTCAATATTATTAAAAGGGGAGAATCATCTGAAGAATTATTAAGTTAAATAAATTACAATATATTTGCACAAAATAAAAGTCAAAGTAATGAAACTTTAAACCTAAAATCTCTATTTTAATTACTTTACAATAATTCAGATAAAGAGCTTTAAATGATTCTATTAAAAATTCACTCAAAATATCATCCTGTCCCTTTGATTTATTAAAATCCTTTATTAGAAAAAGATAAAACTTCAATAAAAGACTTATATGTATTCAACAGAAATATTTTCTATCTTTTATCAAATGATTTTCCAATAATTTAAGTTATTTTATATTGAATGCAAAGATCTGAAATTTGAAATTTCTGATTCTTCTAAAATAAATAACAATTCAGTAGATTGCTAATTTGACTTTTCCTTTAATGGAAGCAGAAACTACTTAATAGCTGATGTAATTTAAAAATAGTGTATAAATATATGTAAGATTTCAATTTCAAAATTTATATATGTAAAATACTTCTAATACTTTGAAAATATAAAATAAGTACTCTCTTATTTACAGAAGATTATATAAACATATTCAAACTACTTTAGATTTATCAATTTTGTAAAGAAAGATTCGAACCATATCATAAAAGTTGTAATTTTACAAGCCCTCCTTCTCAATACTGATAAAAGAATTCAAAAATGAACAAATTAGAAATGATCAATAAAATTAGATATTAAAGATTCTAGTCTTCAAGCAGGAGATATATAATTTATAAATGAATAAAGAAATCCACCTTAATTTTTAGTACTGGAGTTCTTCACTAATTTATAGATGATAAAGATTTGAAACTAAAATAGAAAGAGAATTTTATTAAGCTAATTATACTTATACTATTTTTATCGTTAAACAAGTCTCTAACTTTACTTTTGATATTTTAGTTAAGAGTATGAAGACAAAGCCAATCTATGTCAAATTATTTTAACTTTTTATAATCTAATTAGATCGTAAGTTTAAGTGTAGTTTATTATTAGGCATTTCAATCATGATCAAAAATATTGTAAAACACTAAAGTTGAAATCGAATTAGGATTTCTTAGGTTATCATTACATGTTTAAGAAAACAATCTAGGTTTATAAAATGAATTGTGATCGTCTCCCTTAATTTGGTTTGTAAGCTGCGCAAATATTTTCCAAATGAATCATATATCTGCTTCAAATTGATATCAATCATTTTCTTCAAGATTAAATTTTTAATTACAAGCTAGAATTGATAATTCTCTTAAAAATCTTTCTATAATTTTAATCCTTTTGATTCAAATTCAAGTAATTTAGTATCGATATATTTATAAAATTATAATACTATTTTTTTACCTAAAATCGTGTAGTGCAATAAAAGTAGAATTTGGAGGTTAGTATTATGAGTTGGATTAAGAATTTACTTAATAGTAAATATAATAATGTTAGCATTTTTCAAAGAATCTTCATAGTTTTTTTTATCACAGTAGCAAGACTTAAAATCAATGAAATTTGACATTAAAGAAAGTTAGGTGTTTATTAGGTAAGGTTGAAACACTAAATTAAGGATATATTTAGCATAAAAGTTTTTAAAGGCCTTTAGGCAGCATCAGAAAGTTGTAGAGTCATCAGCCTACTAATGAAGTAATTTATCATAGTTTTTTCATCAATAATCATCTTTATGATTGCTCATGAAAGATTTAAATATCTACTATTTATTTAATATTACCAAAATCATATTAAAGTTTTCCCAGACGGATCTATCTGTTTTTAAATTTTAAATAATTGATATGATTATTCTTTCTAGCTTTAAGTTCATCAGCTGTATATTGATTATTTCAATCCTAATATATTTGATTTTTAATGGAGAATTAATTATTTATTACAAAATAAAGTAATTTTTCATTTTAAATTTTTTCCACTAATTTAATTTTTAGAATTGATATTGTTCAAGGAAATTATCAAAAGCCCCAATGGCCATAGAGATAGAGAATATTATTTTAATATTTATCTATTCCTTAAAGTCGTTATTAATTTCAATACTTAGGGTTTTAAGCCCTTTAATAGCCATGTTAGCCTCAATAATTTTTGGCTAGAATAGCTGAAAGATAAATTAATCCACAAAATTATTCATTAGATGAAAATATCAGTAGCGAATTTATGAAGTGCATTTCTTAACTTTGGGCAGATAAAATAACAGAAAAAAAAATATCAGATTGATGAAAAAGGAATTTGAATAAAATTTCTTAATAGAATTCAATTAACTATTAAATGAAATATAAATTATTCAATTGTTATTAATTCAAAAGGAATAGAAAAAATATTTCATTTACTTAAAGCCGCTCCTATTTTTGACAAAGAAGTATAATAGGAATGGGAATAATTTTTTGAACTCACCATAAATTAAGAATTTAATGTA